TCACGATCAATTTCTCATACTCAACGGGAACACCTAGAGAAACCACTAACAAAAGAAGAAATATGGACAACCTTACTACAAATGGAAGAGGATAAAACTTAAGGGATAGATGGTATCCCTAAAAAATTTTGGGAAGCTATGTGGCCCACCTTCTTCCCTGACCTGATGGATTTTTTTGACAACATACAAGAGTCAGGTTATATGGTGGAATTAGTGAGTCAAGGAATTCTAACTCTTTTACATAAAAATGTGACAAAACTGATATTAAAAATTATCGACCTATGACCCTTCTCACTGTGGTCTATAAAATGTTAGTCAAAGCATTGGCTAACCGTTTAATCCCAATTATGCCTAACATTATTCATCCTTCCCAAATGGGATTCATTAACGGTAGACACATCCAAGATAACATTTTGCTAATTAATGAAATGGTTAAATTAGTACGTCAAACTAAACAGAATGCTGCTTTTGTCTTTATCGATTTTGAGAAAGCTTATGCTCATGTAGATTAGCGTTTTTTGGATGCCTGCCTCAATAAAATGAATTTTGGACCAAATTTGAGATGATGGGTATCCATTCTGCATCAAAATGCAACAATAAGAGTTCGGATCAACGGTCTCTTATCTCCAAAAATTCATCTTCTAAGATCGGTTAGACAAGGGGATCCCCTAGCCCCCTTTTTGTTTTTAATAATCATGGAAGCATTAGGAGATAATCTTATGACTAATAAAACTCTCAAACGATTAACGATAACTAGCATCCCAGAGGAGGCCATACCGATTACCTCCATGTTTGCAGATGATTTAACACTAATGGTGGGAGCCTATGAGAGTAATATGGAATAGATTAAATCTTTGATGGACCGTTTCTCACAGGTATCTCATATGGTGGTCAATTGGGGATGTAAAACATAAGGATGGTGGATTCACTCTCATGGCACTAGACCGGCAGAATCTTCAAGAATCAGTTGGGTACCATTTGATGCTCCAATCCGCATTCTAGGAAATTCTCTCATAGCTCAGGGCAAACCGATCGTTAATGATGAATTGGTTTTAGGCTCAGCACCCGACAAAATGAATCAATTGAAGGATCAACATACTTCTTTATTTGGGAGAACCTTAATCTTTAATAATGTTGTTTTTGCCTCAATGTGGTATAAATCTGCATTACGCGAAAACAGGCTTCAACATTCTTCTGGAGAGGCAACCATGAGAAAGAAAAGGTAATTCCAATGGTTGCATGGAATACAATCATCCAACCCAAATCACGAGGGGGGTTAGGGATTCTGGAACCAACCTTGCAATGTCAGACCCTCTCTCTTAAGTGGATCAAAAAACAAATTTTTTGTATTGACAGGTCATGGTTGGTACTAGCTTTGGAACAAATTAAACCACCAGTTCACCCATACCTCTTTGGAATATCCCGAAAATGCATTTTGTTGAGCCTGGAAGTGTGAGGGTACTGACCTCTTCGTGTTGGACCTACTACAAGTTGGTGGACCAAAAAGCAGGCCGTGGGTAGTTTTTTGTTTTCAATTTTGTATCTCGTTTTTTCTTTTTACTCTGTTTTCACTCATGTGCCACGCCAGTCAGGCTGAAGAAAAAGACAAAAAAAAAACTAAAAGGATGATTTGCTTCGTCGCTGAAATAAAAATTAAAAAAATCCCTGGTGGCGGTAGGGCGCAATTGCAGTCGGATGCATTCTGGAAAGCGGTAGTGTGAGTATGCCCTAAGGGCCTCGCTACACAACTCTGCAAATGTGCCAAACGAGAGTGAATCTTCCGTTAGAAGATGGAAAGATACACAACCATGATTTTTGTCGTTTTTGCATGTGGAGAGTAGTGTAGCAATTCCCTAGTGATGCCTGTAACTCTTACCATACACTGTACCTTTCTGGAGTTTGTGGCCACATTCATAGGCTCATTGCTTCTAAAAATCAAACTAAAAAAAAGGAAAAGAAAACTGACGATTTCTTGTCGTTTTCTCCCGCCTTAGCAGGAGTGCGTCTGACATCATTGAGGGGACGTTTTGTCCCCGTCAGTGGCGGGCTTAAGGCACTACCCACACCCATTTTTTTTATTTTTTTTTTCTTTTTTGTTCGTACTTTATTTTTCTGCGTCTGGCTTATGTGTTCTCGTTGTTTATTTCCTCGGAATCCTTTTCCACCCACCAAGTGGCGGGCCTTATAAGTTTTTTTTTTTCTTTTCGCTCTTATTGTTTCTTTTCTTTTTTTGTCTGTTTTTCAAAGCTCGCACTTTAGTTTTTTTTCTTTTTTTTTTTCACCTTAGCTTTCCTCATCTGACCGTGTTTGATGTTTTCACATCTGGTGTCCGCCCATCCATTGCACCTCTTTGATTTTTGAGACCCACCAGACCTTTGCCCCCAAGCTCTACCGGGCGTCTACTGAACGGCGTAGGCCCGGGTGCAGTGGATTGCAATAGCAGAGATAGGCAGGGGCGTGAACTGGTGGTTTAAAAGGTTGGCTCCCCATAACAGTGAGAATGTACATCCCCTTACTTGGATTGAGGATCGCTATTGGAACATTCCTAAAAGCAACCTCAATCCAGAAAGGAAGGGGATAGAGGGGCAACAAGAGATGATCTATTCTTGGATGATTTTCGGGTTACTCTACTCACAACATGGCGTCACCTTCCTATACCAAATAAACCATTTCCCTCTACATATGAGGAAGTGCTTCGACAACCTCTCTTCGGTAACAAATGGATTACTGACAGATATGGTTTTTTTTTAGTAGTTTTGCTTCACCATGGTCTCTGTGGGTCAAGGTGAGCATTACGCGTAAAAGACTTGTGGGACTCAACAAAAAAAGATTGGAAAACAGTGGAACAATTGAGAGGAACACTTAGGTATGCTCACTAGTCAGTGGATTGTTTGGACCAAATTATTTTTTCTATTCCCCTGGCTTGGGTCAGTACTGTAAAGAAAGGAATTCACATCCAGGAAGCAGACTGGACAGTAGGATGCATACCTAGTGAACAAAATAAAATAGGTCAAGTAATATACCTACTGTCTGATGGAGCTTTGGTAAGTATATGTGAAATTAAAAGAGATTTTAACCGAACCCCAAAAGAAACAGTGGAATGTTTTCCTTACAAATACAGGGTCAGGGTGTTGTTTAATTCCACTTCCCAAATGGCGTATCACCCTCAAATCCCAATCCCTGATCTTCCTTTTGATCCGGCAGAATGGAAGTGGTTGACTTATAAAAGAGGAAAACCACAATTTTTGCAATTTATAACAGTCAAGGCCCCATATAGACTACTTCGCCCGAAAGTAAATATTGCAGCAATAATACAGGAACGGTGGGCTAGACACCTTGATATAGACAAACTTAATTAAACATATCAAGTTTTTTAGAATGCTCAAGCAACGTCCAGCTAAATTTGCCTCTCTGCAGTGGCAGATAATCCACCGATGTTTGCCCACAAATGATTGGGTAATAGACCGCTTGACGTTGGAACAAAGGGGTTTGGCAGTACCATGGTGTAAGTCTTGTGTGTCTGCATTCCCTAGTCGAAAATACCGGGAAACCATCGAGCATATCTTTCTACGGTGTGCTGGTTCGGTGTTGATATGGCGTAAGTGGGACTGTATTTGGAGGACCATGACAGGTCTAGATTGGCCATGGGATTGGAGGGCTATTCTCTTGGGCTATTAGGAACCTGCAGGCATTCAATTGAGAAACTTTCAGCACAATTTCTTTATGATTGAACGCAAGGTTGTTATCTGGACTCTGTGGTACAGACAATGTGTAAGGGAAAGAGAAGAAGTAAGGTTAGAAGGAACTGATATAGTGGAATCAATTGTGGATTTTGTTCAAACAGAGGTTCGAACACAATGGGAGAACCTCACAATCAAATTATTCAAATTTCATTTAAAAAGACTTTAAAAGAGGTATGGCAATACAACATTTTGAAAATGACTGGCTGTGAAATTCTGTTGAGGGGGGCCTGGGTGAAGTGAAGTGGCCAGGGGCGGAGGGGGCAGAGGAGCCTTTCAAAAAGGATTTTCGCCTCTTATTCCGAGTTGGTTCAAACTTCAGCCAGGCGCGTCACTCAGATCTCCTGAAATTTTCGCAGATCCATTTCCTCCTTCCAACCAGCTTTGGTAGATTTTGAAATGGTTTGGATTAGAGGAAGAGTAAAATGGTTAGAACCTATGGTTGTTCTTCGGATGTGCATAACAGCAAAAGAAAGCTTGGGTGCTGGGTTTGAAATGCTAATCTGGCGGTCCTCAATTAGACTGAAGAGGTGCCCAGGTCTTAATTTCCTGGTTTTCAAAAACATCACGAGGGACGTTGGGCCCGGTTCCCAACATGTGCTATTTTACCATTGTTCAAGGGATGCTGGACCTGGTTTCCAGCAGGTGCAGCTCCCCACCAATAGAATGGAGTCCCCTGCACGACAGGTAGGAGTGCATGCACTCCTATCTGTTGTTGCGGGTGTTAAAAAAAAAAAAAAAAAAAGTTCGTTTAAAAAAAAAAAA